TTGTTTTGTGAGATGACAATTGCATCGGCTATTGTGGAACCTAGAGACCGCAGATGGCGTAAATCTGTACGCATCGTCATATAATTTAAATATACCAATAAATTGGGTATTTTCACACTTTCTCGGACTGTCCGAATTTGGCTCGCATCTATCAAGCACAGATAATTTAAATTAACAGAAAAGTTTTAAAATCGATAATTATACCTTAAAGGAAGGAGTTAAAAGGAGCTTAAAGTCTTACACTTACAGAAACCAGTCTACTGCGTAGAGTAGGGAGGCAGCCTCAGTCGGTACACCGAGTGAAGAGAGAATGCCGATTGTAATGACTGTACTGGCACTTGGAACCTGTGGGATTGCGAAAATTGCTGCCGAGGTCAGCAACCTGAAGCGTAAGGGCGTATGGGAGGCATTGTATGAGGGCAAATAAAAAAAGGTCACTAAAATTGTGTAAAAAGTCTGGTCCATTCAATTGATCCAATGGCGTTCCCTTACTTTGTTACTATTGATCTACCATTCACTTAATTACTTTAGTTAGAGAGAGCTTAACCTTACTTGTATTCGTTTGCAAGTATACTCTTATATAAAAATAATATTCACTACATCATAAGCAACTGTCCGAAAAGGTCGGACAAGCAACCAGTAAACCAGAGAAGCAATCCGGAGTGATGACGATCTCGGAGAATCTTCCTTCGAAGAAGACCAACCAATATTTTTCTGCCATAAATATGATGTGCCTGAACTTAGCATGACGGTTCAAACAGCTTAGCATCGAATTCTGCTGCTTGACCGGATACCAGGATACTCTTTTAGGCGAGAATCAGACAGAGAGTAGTCCTCCCTAGTGTAGCCTGCACGGCACCCGAATCTAGTTGGGATAGTTGAACACTTTGGATAAATCGCAGTATGTGTAAAGTTAGGATCCGAGTCGTTTTTAGCACCCGTAGGAGGTTTTTTATCCATGCTGCAGTGAGGATGCGCTCACATTCGATTGCTCGCCTTTGTCCTGCCATTGGAGTAAGATAGGTGTGGAAAAAAGGGAGTGAGGGAGACTTAGTGCAAGTACAAGAACTCACGTGCAGGTCACGGCCAGCAATCTTAATGGGACAGGAAACTCATAGAACCAGCTTTGTCCCACATAAGTTCTGAATTTCAGAGAAAGTACTACTGTTGACGGTAGGAATAACAGCTAAGGTTGGGCCAATGTGTCGAAATTTTAGCCGCTACGGAGTAAATTGTTGTAATTTTGAAACACTTACCAGAGCCAAGGCAGGAGTTAATGGAGAAGCATTATTAGATGACTACTTACCAGATTAGGATTGCGGTGCCAACCGACACTGATCCTAAATTGAGCTGAGTAATAAACATGGCAGAGCTGGCGATGAAAATTGCCGGCCCGTCAGACATCACAGTGGTGAACAACGGACAAGTTAACCTCGATATATCCTTGTCCACCCCGTAGTCATCACAGCCCTGATACATTTCCAGGATAGAGACAATGCTACAAAAGGCAAGGAGAATTTAGCGATAAAGGTGCTGAAAGAACAAAAGTCAAAGCTACTTGCATTTTGTTTCCTGTTTTTTGACCCTAAACCATGACATCCTAATTCTTCTGTTAAAGACACCGATGCCTTAGAAGTATTTACTGAATCTCGGAAGGCCTCCTGTTTAGATATCATCTCACACGTGCTTTTAAGGAATGATGCAAATATAAAGGCTCATTTACAAAATCCCGATTTGCATTGAGTGTTTAGAGGTAGCTAAATTCTCTCGCAGGCTGAGCCGTAAGCAATGGGTTTTGTACGTCTTCCCCTAGACGCAGGAACTCTAATTTCAGATTGAAAATAAATCAACATCTGATACTGTACAAGTAAAATAAGACAGTTTTCAGGAGACATTAGTGACGAGCTGATTAGCATGAAATGCAACATAGAGTAATAGGATTCGCGAAGTTCTGCCTTTCAGATCTCATTTGAATTTCTACCTCCGCCCAGCTAGAGGTATTTTCTCAGTAAGACAGTGCAATGTTTCGGTAAAAAAACTACATTATATTTTGCAAACTTTATATAAATATGTCCTAAAAATGTGAAAATGTCCTAGAATGTGTCCCATAATTGGCATGGAAATTACGCCCCATAAAGAAGACTGGTGAGTATTAAATTGAATGTTAACTACTTTAAATTGAATATTGGCGAGTATAGATCTGTTATCACTGCATTATACTCAGACCTGTGCATTTATCAGGCTACTTAAGTAATAAAAATATAGCATCCCTGCTGCGGTTAGT